GGCACTGCCCGCTGTGCTTACATCCAGATATCATGTCCCGATAGGTTGGGTATTGGCAACAAACTGAATGGTGTGTATTTTCTACCTTTGATGCGAGAGTTAATCTCCTCTGGTTTCGACGGTTACGAATCAACCTAGTTCCGATATCTGGCCGGACTTGCTGGTCACCGTCAGTTTCACGACTCTCGGGATGGCTTCCGGGACCCTCGGGAACAATCGTGCTCGGACAGTCTCCATCACCGTGGCGCTGACCGACCAAATCGATGATATCATCTCTGACTCAGTCCAATCCCTCTTATTCCGAATTTATATCTACTCGCTACAGTGACCACTGCGTTACGTGAGCGCTATAAATGGACCGCAGCAGCAACCTTGGGGATTCTGACTTTTGTGAGTTTTCCTTTCTGCTTAGGATGAACATGATGCCGACTTCCCTTGCAGACGCAAATTCATTTTACCACTCGCTTTCCCTTCTAGTCCCCGATCCATCACCGTTGATTCTGAGGATCGACAATACAGCCACGCTCCGACTATACATGGCATCAGACTTATCTGATTGGCATATGTTCTCGGACGGTCGACAGAATTCAGTCCTTTCAGGACTCATAGATCTCAGTGGTCTCTGGACACCCGTTAATGGAGCCATTACCGTGATATTTGGTATGAGCATGCTGATGCTCTGGTGGGGTATGTATGGTTCATCCCCTCTCCGGCATGAACTCAGTGTTGCATCCGCTAGGCAAGAAGCCTCTCTCAATCTTTGGTTGGATACACAAAATAAACAGAGGCAAAGTTGTCGCGAGGATGAAGGAGCGCTACCCCGGTCTCGAGAGCAACACTTCGACATCCCCAGGGTGGAATGTGCTCTTGCGGGACTTCTTCGTCGATATGGAGCTGGTTTCTTCGTCCAATATATCGGCGAACACGGGAGACACGCACCCCCACTCAACGGAAAGCTCGACCATCTCGCCAGCTCGCTCATTGAACGACGAAGATAGCAATCACGCTATCATCAGTGACGCCACACCACTACTTTCTGATGCAACCGCAGTGGAGATGGACAATCTAACAGGAAACTTTGGATCCACGTCGTCCTCGACCATCTCACCGGCTCCTTTGTCGAATGACGGAGATAGCAACCATCATATCAACAGTGACACCACACCACTAATCAACAATACAACCGCAGTGGAGATGGACGATCTAGCGTCCACATCGTAGTGGGTCAGCCGCTCCAAGGTATGATATGCTATTGGTGCCTCGCCATTGTGCTAATCTTCTGCCCTGGCCAAACACGACCCCGACCTCAAACCCCCCACTACTATGGATACATGTAGCAATTGCACTCAACCTACTTACTCCCATGTATGTTCCTTACTTCTTACTCACGAGCCTCATGATTGTTGAATCATAGTCTGTAGTTTATCACGCGTCCTGTGTCGAGCTTTTTTCGCTTGTACCTCGCGTTGTTGTAGTCTGTCAATTAGCTAGTCTCTCTTGACAAACTTCATCTCTCGTTCCTCGTTCTGAAGTCTGTTCGTGGTCTGATTACCGTTAGGTCGGCTTATTATGTAGTGATGGTGATGCTTGCGCAAATAAAAAATACTCCGGACGCGTTTTTGACGCGTTCTCAAGGCCCTCGCACCTCTACTCCCGTAGAGTGGATACTGGGGCATTCCTACAGATAACTGCAATTTCTGCGAGTTTATTTGGCGTGTCGAGATCATATATGCATCATATCCGCTGAATTGACCCAGTGATGGGCTAATGTGTGGATTGAGCAGCAGAAATAGCAACAAATCTCATCCAAACACTTTTTTCGGGGAGTAGAAGATAGATTACGTCCAATTTTTAGCTTCAACGCGCTCATGTAGCGAACGGCGCGTCCAAGTCGCGTCGTAGTTGGCAACACGTGACCGCGCGTACATAATAAGGAGACCTAACGGTAATCACTTAAATTAGGGCACGGTAACCTAACAGACTAGTCCATTAGCTGATGTGGTTGATTGGAGATGGGCCCCGGCCTAAATCTTTGAGCAAGCTTACACCCGTCTATCTACAACATTCTCCGAGTACTTCCGTCTTACCCACTACTACCTCGAATAAATGTCTGCAAATTCAACCACCTCAAGTTCGTCTGGCATGTATCAGATTGAGCTGTTCCAGGATGCCAATTGGCTAGACTGGAAGCATGGTATCACCTCATCGAGGATTGCTGAAGTATGTCGCGGGAACTTCAACCTGTCCGACACCTGCAACCGCTGGTAAACCGACCGCCGATGAATTAAAGTCTATGGAAGAATGGGATGACAATGATGCCCGCGCACAGAATCAAATTGAGCTGACAATAGGCGACTCTCAGATGATTCACATATATGGAGCTATGACCTCTGCACAAATGTGGAAGCCTTTGAGCACTGTCAAGGAATCTCACGGGAAATTGGGCATTTTATCTATGCGCCGCCGTCTGTATCAGACTACTGCCGACGAATCTACGGACATTTTGGCCCACATTACGGAGCTTAAGGAAATCCAAGGACAGCTACACTTCATGGGAAGCTATGTATCTGATCACGGTTTCACATTCCTACTCCCTCCTCACATCTCTTCCGCAGAATTGGGACTAGTTCACTGGGCCTTATCTTGGCGCAAACTTCTCTGCTGTTCAGGCTAGCAGCTCTTCTACTGGTATTACTACTCAGGAACCAACTTCGCTTGTATCCACCCTTCCCATCCAGTCCTATGAGCTTATTGCAATTATTCTGGAGGAAAATCACCGCCGCTTGGAAAAATCGGGCGCAGACTCTTCATTAGTAGTCTCGAGCGGATCAAATTCGAGGTCGAACCGGCAACCCAAGTCTGAACCTAAATCCACTGGTTGTAATTGTCCTTCAGACAGCACATGTTCAAACTGTGGTTGGAAATATCATTGCAAACATAAATGTTTCGCAAAAGGTGGAGGCCGTGAAGACCAAGGACCGAAGCAAACCTCAGGGAAATTTAAATCAAAGACCAAAGACAGGTCTCACCAGGCTGAAGACAATCCATCAGATGCGGCGAATAAGGATTTAGCTGATCAGGCATACACGTCTGAGATAGCTGCCATACGGCAATAAATTCGTTTAAGCGCAGATTAGTTTGCTGATTCTAGAACCACGTCACATGTCTGCAATTCGAGAGAATTGTTCAGTGACTTCATCCCACTCACAAACCACAGTATAACTGGTATTGGCGAGAATAAAGTTCAAGCTATCGGGAAAGGCACAGTTAAATTGGACTGCAAAGTCGACGGGAAATATATTACGAATTTTTAAACGACGTACTCTAAGCCCCCGCATCAGCAAATAGTCTAATGTCCCGCCTCGCTCACGATATCCCCCGCCGCATCCCCGCAAGTACGGGGACCCGGTATCTCCCAGCCCGCGCTCGGCGCCGCGCGCGCTCCCCGTACCGCCCGCGGCGCGCTGCTCCTTGGACTTGCATCCTATCCGCGCGCCTCACTCGCCGAATCCCCGTGAGTACGGGGAGTCGGTGTGTCCCCACGCGCGCATCGCTCACCGCCTCTACGGCATCTGCCGCCCCATCGCGGGCGCTCCCCGCACCGCCCGCGCCGCGCTGCCCCTCGGACTTGCACCCCCGCGTGAGCGCAAGGTGCTGCGCCCCCTTCTTCGTACCTGCACCCCAACCGCCGCCGCGTCGTCCACCGCGCGAGCGCGAGGGCGAGCGCGCGGGCCACGGGGCGCTGGCTTCGTACCCGACTTGCTGCCCGCGAGTCCTCGTGGTCGCGCGCATCATTCGCGCACAGCCTCGGTGTACTGGGACGATACGCGCCGCATCTCTGCGCTCGTGCAGATCGTGCAGAGGCGGGCACGGACCGCGCTCCGTCCTCGCGACGACGGACACGCCGCCTAACGCCCTGCTCAAGGCTGCGCAGTGCATGTCCGCGCGCATTCCCCTTGGGGCTGCGGCACCCTCGACTCGGGCGCATTCCGGGAGGGACGTCGCGCACGCACGCACTGATGTGAGGATACGGAGAGGGGAGCGGGGAGTTAAGAGTATAAGTACGTACCTGTATGCGAGCCCGCCACAGGGACTTGAGGCAGGCGTGCGTGGTGTACTGAGGGCCGCATCGACATTGAGTGAATGCAACTAGTAATGTAAGCAAGTAAGGTTGCGCACCTTCAAGTGAATGAGGCTTGCGAGGCGGACGTGGACTTGGGACGAGGACTTGGGGGCCATGGACACGATAAAGGTGGGGTCCAGATGCAAGAAAGAAAAGATTCCTCGGCTGATGGGGGAAGTGAATTCGACGCTGTATGTGGGGATGGATGGGCGAGCGCGGCAGTAAGAGGGTGGGTCGGGCGTGGGGTATGGGATGCTGCGACTGCTTGGCGGCGGCGATGACGGAAACGCGGCCGAGGTGCAGCACGGGGTGGTCGGTGAGGGCTCGAAGGACGCGGAGCCGGAGAGGGCGGGCCGCTTGGGCGAGGGGCGGCGCGAGCGGGGTGTCGAAAGCATAGAGAGTAGGTGAGTAGGGTGGTGGTGGAATGAGTTGGTGGGACGATGGGATATGGGAGCGGGCAAGCCTCAGCCTCAGGCCCCGGCAAGGAGCGGGTGACGTCATTGATGCGGGGATGGCGTGCCGATGCATGTTGCTTGCGACGTCGACTTGCTCGACCACCGCGACGGCGGTGAGCTCGACGCCATCGTAGTGAGCTGTCGCAAGTACACTTCAGCTGGGCTTGGCAGCCTTATATTACATACCCGCCAATTTCGCTTCCGGGTCCACCCACGCCGCGCCGCCAAACGGCCTTGGAGGTCTTTGGTTGAATCTCAGAGCTAAATACGAACCCAGCTAAGGGCAGAGGTATTCACGATGGGAGAACGGCCTCTCATTATGCAGGTTATGTGCATTTTGGAGGCGGTTCAGGGCTAGAATCCGGATGAATTTTTTCTTCTTACATTTCCTATTAAGAGGGGTCGCATGGAAGGGAAAGAAGACAGACATGGTGTAGTGGGAACACGGCCTCTTCTTATAGATAAGCTTCAGAGTTATTCAGAGGCAAACCAGGGTTCAAATCCCTGTGTCTGAATCTACTTTGGCTGAGTGCTTCTTCTTTCCGCTTGCTTGAACGAGCTAATAAGACCAACCCAGGTCCCTGCAAAAGAACTCAGACATGGAATGGAATACAGCCTTTTATTCTGAGGTTGTAGAAGTATATCCAGAGGCAGTCCAGGGGTTCAATTCCCTGTGTCTGAATTCCGGTTGAATGTGAGCTTTTTTCTCTTTGATTTCATTTTCTCAACCTCTTGAACGCACTGCTGTAGCCTGTCGCCCGAGGGTTGAAATTTTGAAGCTTCAATTCGACCATCCCCCTCGAGGCTTGAAGAAAGACTACATGTAAGTAGTCAGAACAGGAACTCACTCCGAGTCATTCAAACAATCACCCGAGCTAAGCACAGAGAAAAGAACTCAGACATGGGGTAGCCGGAACATAGCCTTTTCTAATTGCCGATAATTGCCGATAACATAGTTACAGATGTAGAGGCAGTCCAGGGTCCGACTCCCTGTGTTTGTATGACTGGCCTAAATCGTCTTTTTGTCTTGGGTTATTTTTCATTTTCTCACCGCCCCGCGCTAACCCGCTGCTGAAGGTTGAATAAGTATCCAGTATCCCCAGCACGATCAGAAGAAAGAACTAGAACCCCACTCCGTCTACAATTACAGTACTCAACCGCTAATACTATAAAACTTCCCGGATGTGCTGAAAAGTACCGCGGACACGGTGTAATGGATTGTTCAAACACTAATAAGTACTCAAACGAGCTCATAAAACCACCTTGATGTACTGGAAAGCAAGTCAGACATGGTGTAACGGGAACACAACGTCTTATTCTGGGAGTAAAGAGTGAAATTGAGAGGCAGTCCAGGGTTTGACTCCCTGTGTCTGAATGGCATTTTTATCATTTGATTTCTTTCCTTTTCATTTCAAAATCGAAGCTTGAATGTCCAACTCAAGTCGAACATTCTCGCTCACGCCTCAAATATCTAATAAACAAGAACCCTGCACTGTCTACAATTATTCAAACACCAATACTCAAACAAGGTGATAAAACTCCCCTGATGTACTGAGAAGCAGCTCAGACATGGTGTAATGGGAGCACAGCCTCCTTCTATTCTGGGAATATCGAGGATAAATTGAGAGGCAGTCCAGGGTTCGACTCCCAGTGTCTGAATGTAGGGTTTTTGATGGCTTGATTTTTTTTTTCCTTTTCCTTTTCATTTCTCCCGCCCCCGAAATGGAAGCTTGAAGCTCTAAGTCGAACATTCCCGCTCGCACCTCGAAATTCGAATATCTAAGAAACAAGAACCCCGCTCAGGCTCTACATTTTAATTCAAACACCACCTTGCCAATACTCAAACGAGCTGATAAAACCAACCCAAATGCTTACAAAAGGATTCAGACATGGTGTAATGGGAACACCGCCTCTTTTCGTCTTGCCTGGCAATCACATTCAGAGGCGGTTCAGGGTTTGATTCCCTGTGTCTGGAGTAGAATTTTATCCTTTGACTTTTTTTTCCTTTTCACTTCGAAATCGAAGCTTGGGTTCAAAATGCCTCTCAGAGCATAATATGATGTCATGGGAGGGTAGGAGAGTAAAATATGGGACCTAGAAGACGTGCATGCTGTTGCACTACTTCTTTGTCCCGATTTGGACTACCGGTGACCCTCACGCGCACAGATCAGTTCTCGGAAACATTTGCGTGCTGGCTCTAAGGGTGAAGAAATAGATTCATTGGTGTCAATAATAAATAATACATATGGGAAATTACAACCACTGCACACACTATCAGTGTAATTTTTGGGACAATGTAGACATGCCTCCACAGCCGGGAAACAGTGCCAATTCATGCCCTCAGTTCTTGCTCAGTTCAGCGTTGAATTGCTCAAAGAGAGCCCACCCATTGTGAATTGAGTATGGAATAGAAAACAGTACAGTAGAGTATTTTACGGGTTTTTTCTGATCTGAGAACTTGCAGCACAAGAAACATGAAAGAAAACTAGGTAGCGTAACAGCTGGAATCACTCTCGTCACCAACAGGATCAATAATCGCTTTGCGTGCCAATCTCAACCTGACCTTAACAAACATAAGGGTCTGAATAGTTTCCGCCTTCAAGCTCGCCCGGCGCAGTCGGATGGTGCCGCGACCACCCGAGAAAATCCGCTAGACTGCGACAGCTGAACCTACAGATTTTCATCAGTGACGAAGAGCGGGATTCATGAAGGGGAAGAAAATACCAGGGATACAGACTATGTTGCGGACAAGGCAGTATAGATGAGGGAATCGCCGACATCGACTGTACCACCATTTGAGTGGATCAACACCATCAAACGGCTCAGGGACACTGGTGATCCGGAAATACTCTGCAAGTTCATCTGATGTCGACGCGGCGCACACTTTTTATAGTGGCTGGTGAAATCGACTTTTTGAGGGGAGCCGACGTCGGGTTGAGGCATCGAGGAGGACGGGACATCCACGGTGGTAGGGGCATAATGGATTTTGAAATGGGATAGCAAGTCGAGTTTTGACGCTTCAAGTTGGCCGAGTAATTGATTGTCGTCGGCATAGCCACCACACAAGGTTTCGTACGAGATTCTTGGGTCTAAAACTGCGAAATCTGGTCAGTAAACGAAGTTGTTGTTGTAGAGAAATGAACGAACGTGCGGCCCAGGTGCAGTAGCGGGATTCATCAAATTTTGTGAAATTAGTCACTGCGTTTGCGGTGGGCATTGACAGGCACTTCCTTGAGCGCTGGATCGGCGTTGTCGGGAAGCTCTTTGATGATGGTTTTGAGGTGCTGTTGGAAGCCACGGAAAATAGCGTGGGTTGTGGAAAGCATGGGCTGCTTTGTTGCCGACATTTGTGTGGTGGCAGAACGAAAAGCCTTGAGCCATCCCGTAACCATCTCGAGGGCCTTCCACTCGTCGGAGGTGAGCTCATGTTCGCGCAAATCACTATCCTAGGCGACATAATTATAGACGGGCCGGCGGAACTGCAGAGCACGACCTAATTTCCGGCTCATCGATCTCTGAGGCAAGAATTCAATCGTACAAATACATACGCAGTATTTGATGAGTTGAAGACCATCGGGTCGCCGGGGAGTAATTCGGGGTCAGTCAACTCACCAAAGAAAATCAAGAGCACGCCGGCGAGGCCAGATAAGTAAGCGAAGACGTAGGCCAGCTCTTCGGGTGCACCGTGGCCGGAGATTCCGAGACGAGAACCAAGCAGCAAAATTGCGATCAAAATTGTGGCGGCGGGCAGCAAAAACAGGGGGACGTTGAGAAGGATCCATGTCGCCCCATGAAATACCAGAGCTTCAGGACGGGAGGGGAATAGAGTTCCGTGTGCTGCACGAAAACTATCAATGAAGAAGTGGAGGTTGGGGAGAAAGAAATGGGCGCACTTGGGAGAAGTTTCCTGCGGGGGTGTTCATCGTATTTTATAAGCGCCTCAGGCATGCTAGCTGAAGACTCAGGCCTTAAATACTGCTGGAAAAATGATTTTCGGACGCTCAGAGTGCATGCTTGATGTTGGCAGGCGGCAGCTTGGTACCTTGCCAGCGACACGGCAGGGTAAATTGGTTGCCTGCAGGGTTGGCGGGATCGTAGTTTGCAGGGTTGGCGGGCAATTCACGGTTTTGTAATGCTTCCATAATTTTCCTTTTGGTCACGTTAAGGTACCGTGCCCAGCAGTGTCCGTAAGCCCTTGCTATTTCGAGTGGCTGTTTACGCGTAAACGGACGGTTACGGGTAGCCCGTTTACAGGTCGACCCGTTACGTGCCCGTACCGTATGAGTTGAGCAATAAGATGCTCACGGTACGGGGCCGTAAACCGTTTTTACGGCCCGTGGTTCCGTAAAATTACAGGGCGGTTTCATGCCCTAGGAGGATGGTGATGGGTATGGTGTGGAGGAAAGAAGGCAGGGAACAAGGTGTGCGGGGCCGATGGACGGGGGTGACATGGTGACGGGGCGGTGGAGGCGCCGGGCGGGCATGGGCGGGGTGGACGCGGGTCGGTGGAAGGGAGCGGAAGGAAGGGACAACGGGAAGGAGGTGGACAGGGGCGCACAATGCTGCAGAAGAAGAGGGCGAAAATCAAAGGAAGGAAGTGGATGTGAATGGTGAATGAGAGGCACGGGGAGACGAGGATGAAGGAAGTGGATGGTGCGAGACATGGTGTAATTGGAAACACAGCCTCTTCTCATTATAAATGCCTCTGTGTAGAGGCAATCCAGGGTTTGATTCCCTGTGTCTGAATAAGCCTTGATTGAAGTCTTTTTTTCCTATCTGTAGCATCCTCCCTTGAACAAGCTAATAAAACTCATCAGATGTAGGAGCAAGGAACTCGAACATGATGTAGTGAGAACACGGCCTCTTCTTATAGGCTATAGCATTGTGATACCAGCTTTGGGAGCCAATGCAGGGTTAGAATCTCCGTGTCTGAGTTCATGTGTATGATACATTTCTATTCTTACGTTCCCCTATAACGACCTAATGAAACTGCTACAAAGGAGGGGAAGGTAACTCAGACATGGTGTACTCGGAACATGGTGTATAACTGCTTTCACATTTGGATGTGACCCAGTGTTTAACTCCCTGGGTCTGAATGAGCATGAGCCTTGTGTTTCTATTTCCTCTTTCATTGTGTTCCTCCTGGAACGATCTAATAAAACTACTCCAATGGACAAAAAAGGAAGTCAGACATGGTGTAGTGGGAACACGGTCTCTTCTTATAGAATTCCCGGTGGTACATGTCAAGAGGCAATCCAGGGTTCGAATCCCTGCGTCTGAGTTCATGTGTGTGTGATACATTTTTTCTTTCTTCCTCCATTCCCCTTGAACGACCTGATAAAATTACTATGATCGAAAAGAAAGGAACTCGGATGTGGTGTAATGGGAACACAGCCTCCTTTCATGTCTGACATGAGCCCAGTTCCAAAGGCAGTCCAGGCTTTGATTCCCTGTGTCTGAATAGAAGGTGTATGATACATTTTCTTTATTGCACTTTCCCACGAACGAGCCAATAAATGTACCCGGATGTAAAAAGAAGGGACTCAGACATGGTGTAGTTGGAACACGGCCTCTGCTCATGAAAGTCGACCAGAAGTTGCTAGAATTAGATGTAGTCCAGGGTTCGAATCCTTGTGTCTGAGTTCCACCTTTCCTCGCATTTTTTATTCAACTGTACATGATATCCACTCCTTCGTTCCTCCCGCCAAAACAGAACCAGCTTTATTCAGGAGGACGGCACAGTACTCGTAAAACAAACCACTCCCTCATTATTCTTTCTGGGGTCAACTGTAAGGTTGAACTGAATTTGAATCACGGTTACGGATTACAGTAGAGTTTACATTCCCGCTTCTTCCTTGCCCAATAACCACCAGTGCCCATAACCGTGGGCTCGCAAGCGGGGAACTAAGTAATCAAGGATGCGTACGTGGGGAGTGTTGGTAGCCAGCAATCCGTTGATTTTTCGAGTGAAGGGTTGAGCGGCATCACAGAGTATGGCAGGGTCGAACGATCGAACGGGCAGAGCAGGTAGCAGCCAGGCCCACCCCAACGGGACGAGAACATGAATAAGATTAGTGTACATAGCAGACAGATAGCTCTCGACCCGGCATCAGTGAGGGACGACATGAACAGCAAGGCTCGAGTGGGAAAAGGAGTGGGGACACGCCATAAACGAGGTCCGGATACTCCGAGACACGTCTGTAGAAGGAAGAGTGAGGAAAATGCTCGCGTGTTACATCCGTGCATCCGGATTCCGGGATCACCTGACTCCCTTCCGGTTCCGGTTCACCGGAACCATCCGGGCCGGGTTCGGACCGCCTTGGCTGAACGGGTTTTTATGCAATGAAGGATTACTGAGTGTTTCCCGTTTATCCGTCTTCTTTCTTTTTGTCTCGTACTTGACTTCTCTTCTTCATCCGCATTTGGACATCCGCTTATTGTTATGCTCATGATCACATTACCATTACCATATTAGGATTACAATAACGGACTTTATCATATATACACTGTAGATACGCCCTGTACTTCAGTTTGATTATTAACGTTGCTTGACTTCCTCTCGCTCTGAGTCGCTTTCCAGTTTACCTTCCGGTCCTCACCTATTGACTTCTTAGCTGCCGGCTCAGGTAGTATGCACACCCTTACCTTCTGTGGTGTCTGCGCTCCACTTACTTATTTTCCGAATGTTCTGGTCGTTCCGGTCTCCGGATTCCGTTTCCGGTCCGGAACCTTCGGACCTTGTCCCTCCCACATCAGCTCGGTATATAACATTGCGAGTTTTTGCCTGCGATGCTTACATAATATGCTTCCCCACCCGTGAGACGTGGAACAACGAGCCAGCATCGCACAAAAGGATAAAACCGCCGGCACTAAAAATGTCTTAGCAATTGATCCCCCAATGTCACGCTTTTTGGGTGCGGAAGGAATATAAAAACGAGGATAAACAAAGTTTAATCCTCGTAATAACGGTCGTAATAACGGAGCACTGCGATCCAACGCCCGCGGTAAAAACTAGACTAACTTGGACTTGAATACGCCACGGGGGGGGCGTGTGATGCGCCGCCGGTGCTCGAAGAGTGTGGCCCGCTCTCGAAGATTAGGGTCGCTACGCGCGCGCGTAGTAAGTACTCGATGAGCGCGAACTCGAGGTTGACTCATCATTGCTGGTGATGTTGGATGCGTCGTTCACGATGGATGGATGCGCATGCTTGGACACCGTGGCGTCCCGTATGTGGGCATGTGCGCGGCGAAAGTAGTACGTCAATTTGCGATTGGCGGCGGGGGTGTTGGCGGGTGAGGCATCGTGATCGTCCCGCGCTGAGGCGGCGAACTCGGAGATCGTCACTCTTCCTCAACAATTTCGCCGCTGTGCTCGAGCTTGCCGAAGGGCTCTCAACGTGAGGTGTGTCAGATCCAGAGATCTGACGTCTCTTGACATCGGAGGCGCGCTCCAGCGGCACCAAAATCAGGCCAGCGAACATACCTGTGCAAATGCCTTGACAGATTTCCGTAGCGAGTACACGAGGCATGCAGCAACACATTCAGCGGACTCAGCCGTTTACCTCCATCGCTGGGCAGATAGCAGTCGGAGTTTTGAGTATTGGTAGAACTCCCCATCAGATCTAGCTCCTTTTGGAATTCATCTCCGTCGCCGACTCGCCGACGTCTCAATGTGTGGGTTGAGTTCTGCCTACCATATGTAGAACTGTAAGCGGCGCATGGGACCAGCTATAGGTCATGTCTGTGCATATATTTTTCAGTCAGAACAGTTTGAACTGGATCAAATCAATTGATACAAAACATACCATATTCGAGACAAAACTTGAACTTCTTGAAGCAAGCTAAATGGAGATTTAGCAGATGAATAAGAGTTATTCAACTCTACCTGAATATACTTGAGGGCTTTCGTAGCCTTTAGAATTAGGCCGGGTAAGCCGGAGCTCAAAACAAAAGAACGTCTTCAAAGACTATTTTGGGACATTGGTGATTACGCGGAACTGCAGGCTTCCGTGATAATGTGCCTGAATTTAGGCACAACGGAAGTTAGGCCAGCCCCACAACATTTTGACAGATTCTCGTACACGACGAGTACACGAGGCGTGTAGTGAACTTAGCGTTCTCATTCCCCCCTCCATGCTGGGCAGATTTTGCGACCAAATTTCCGAGCGCTGGGTAGTGCTCTACCAGGTACCACGAAAACATCTCGTGGGGTGAGCTATTCTAGTTCAACACTTCGGCCTTCACTCACAACGATGAGCAAGGTTCCTTGAGAGCGAGACTATCCGCATTTTACTGCTGCGTAGCGTTGTTCTAAACGCCTTGGGGTATACAATCTCCGCGTTCTCGGCTGGCTCGTCGGGGGGGTGGGTGTTTATAGTAGCCGTTGACGTGCTCCTGCACCATGTTTATTTCGTGTATGTACATGGCTTCAGTCACACCAGCTCTAACACTCGCTCTAGATTCGTACCGGCTCATAGTGTCACGATGGAAGTGGTTGACTTGGTACTCGCAGTCGGGGAAATCGCATTGTGGCTCCGTAAGTAGCCTCCGATCTTTCGGCGGCTTACGTTCACAACTGATCTGGCTGGCTTCAGTTTCAGTCTCGCTACAATCCGTGGTAGGAGTGGGAGGTCTGTCACAATGGAGTAGCGTTCTTGAAATTCTCAACACGCTGAGCTTCGTTCTTTTTGGAATATCGCTCATTCTGTTGCTCTTTGCGCGCGTGTGTGCCAGCTTGAGGCGGCCGGCGGGGGGGTTCCGCTTCTTGCCAATGCTGCATGTTCTCGATAACCTGTACCAGGACCCATCCATGCTTGAAGAGTCATCTACAGGCGCGGATCTACACCTCGTTAATATATCCCGGGTGCCTTCGTCGCACGCTCGTTCGGTGCAAAACGCCGAACTACCTTGCTTCTCTCCCTTTCCACCGGAGAATGCATCCACACGCTCCGGGGTTTTGAACACAAAGATTAGAAAAGTTCATTGGAAAGCAGCGAGTAGGATTTTGCTTGGGCGCTCTGCTTGGGTGGATCCCGTGACTCAAAGGTGCCGTTCTGCCCGTATACCTCAGCTCTGAGTGCTGATGGCTGAATTCAGTGCGGACTACCCCTGGTTTCGAGCTTTCGTTTACGCTGTACTCGTTTCCGGTTTCTTCCTTTTCGCTGTTCTTCGGACCCTCATTGATCCAATTCGGGAAATTGGACATCCCCTTTTAGTGGAAACCAGCTTCTCAGCTTTTGGCGACGGTTTTACCACGGACTCCGCGCCTCTTTGGAATATTCTTGCTGTCAGTGCTAAAAATCCCTGGAATCGAATGCTTTGCTAAATCTCGTCATTCCAGATGATTAACCTAGATGAGCTGGAAGCTTCTCAAATCAACACGTCTGTTGCCCGGGATAATTTCCATAATGCAGTCGATGTAAAGCCATTGTGGGATGAACAAGGTCCCCCAATTAATGATATTTCTAGTACTAGTGATGACCCCGACTTTCTAGGAGACAAACCTAATTGCACTCATACCCCCGGCGTCCAGGCGAAAGGAGATTACGGAAGTGGCAGTGCACAAGGCGATGCCTTCTGTGCTTACATCCAGATATCATGTCCCGATAGGTTGGGCATTGGCAACAAACTGGATGGTGTGTATTTTCTACCTATGATACGAGAGTTAATCTCCTCTAGTTTCGATGGCTACGAATCAACGTAGTTCCTATATCTGGCCGGACTTGCTGGTCACCGTCAATTTCACGACTCTCGGGATGGATTCCGGGACCCTCGGAAACAATCGTGCTCGGACGGTCTCCATCAGCGTGGCACTGACCGACCAAATCGACGATATTATCGCTGACTCCAGTCCGATCTCTCTTATTCCGAATCTATATCTACTCGCTACAGTGACTACTGAGTTCCGTGAGCGCTATAAATGGACCGCAGCAGCAACCTTGGGGATTCTGACTTTTGTGGGCTTTTCCATCTGCTTCAGATGAACGTGACGCCGATTTCCCTTGCAGACAAAAGTTCATTTTACCACCGTCATTTCCCTTTTAGTCCCCGATCCATCACCGTTGATTCCGAGGATCGATAATACAGCCACGCTCCGATTATACATGGCATCAGACGGATCCGATTGGCATATGTTCTCGGACGGTCGACAGAATTCAGTCCTTTCAGGACTCATAGCTCTCGGCGGTCTCTGGACACCCGTTAATGGTGCCATTACCGTGATATTTGGTATGAGCATGCTGATGCTCTGGTGGGGTATGTATGGTTCATCCCCTCTCTCCGGCATGAACTCAGTGCTGCATTCGCTAGGCAAGAAGCCTCTTTCAATCTTTGGTTGGATACACCAAAGAAACAAAGGCAAAGTTGTCGCGAGGATGAAGGAGCGCTACCCCGGTCTCGAGAACGACGTGTCGATATCTCCAGGGTGGGGTGCGTTCTTGCGGGACTTCCTCATCGATATGGAACTGGTTTCTTCATCCAATATATCGGCGAACACGGGAGACACACACCCCCACTCGACGGAAAGCTCGACCACCTCGCCAGCTCGTTCGTCGAACGACGAGGATAGCAATCACAGTATCATTAGTAACGCCACGCCACTACTTCCTAATACAACCGCAGTGGAGATGGACGATCTAACAGG